CGAGCCATAGAGCCCTCAGTGATTCTGACTGGATGGGTCTGAGGTGGGGCTTCAGAAATTTCTATTTGTAACTATGTATTCCAAGTAAATTTGATGCAGATATTCCCCAGACCAGACATGATATAGCAGTATCTCAGAGAAATCCAGGAAGTCTCAGAACATCTCCAGGACAAGCTTGGAAGAGCACCAGGGTTGTGGATTAATCTAGAATCACTGTATTGGTCTACATACTCCATGTGGGGTTCAAGAATCTTTTCTTTTCTAGCAAGACACCAAATGCTAAAACACAGCTGTCTGTACTTATGGGGATATTAGCTAGGGAAGATCACAACTACTTATATCACAACTGCTTCCATCATTCCTCAGTCTTCTATCAGCAAGCCTTACTGATAAGACTCAAATCAAAGTTAACCTCCATTTATCCATTTCATACTCATTATTGCCAACATGGGCAGACCTTAGAGCCCACTGAATTGAGGGACATTACAAGAAGTTATCTTAAAAAACTCGAAAAAAGCAGACCTGAAGTCTTTAAGATGTAAGAATTCCACTCCCACTAAAACTAGACATTAGTCTTTTTTTTAAAAAAGAGTGTTCCAACTGGATCTATAAGAAAACGTACAACCACCACCAGCAAAACAGACCAAGCAACTCTGCAACCCACATGTGCTAACCATTCTATGAGAGGAACTGGGGAAATTATGAGAGATGGGTAAAACAGAGTATGAGATTCTCCTCATCTATTTAAGGGATGTGTATACACCGAGCAGTAGCTGTCAAATATGAAATCATAAACTAGAGTTAAGAAAAGTATGGAAATCCAGGGCATATGACTCTTGATGAGTTTGTCTGTCCTCTTTAGCACCTTAGTGTGGGTGGTGAAGAAAGAAATAGGAAGGTGAATAATAGCAGGAATTTTTAACCCTCCACACTTGTTTGGGGAGGTGCTAAACGGTCTCTAGTCAAACTGTATGGAGCTCCAAGACAAAATGGAAATCTCCAGAATACCTGACACCTGATGGAAAGTCCATCCATCCACAAGGAAAGGCTGTCAAAATGTTCTCATCTGGGGTCATGGAATTAGAACTCTCACTTTCACAGAACTATACATGTAGACATGTGTAGGGGCACACTGCATTGTCTTAACTGGTAGGAGACAGTATGGAAAGAGGACATTATGAAAATTATGAATGAGGGAAGCCATGCTAAGGAAGTTGTATGTGTAGCAGACTGAGTGGTCCTGTCTTACATTGACTCTGCCCCCGACCCCTGAAAGATGTCTCAGCCCTTAACGTCTATGGCTGTTGTCATTTTCTGATTCAGACTGGTCACATGGTCACACATCTTCTTGAGGGACTATTTCATTCTAAAGAAAAAGCAAGCTTCCACCTTTACCATATGCTTCTTCTACTTTGCTTGATTGACTCCATTTTACACTGTGAGAGCAATGCCAATTAGCACTTTTCACATTGTTTCTTCACATTTGTTACATGGAACACAGTTCTGTATACCTAGCATCATATTTAGCTCATTGTAGAAGCTCAAGGAAAAAAAAACATAAAGAAAGGGTTCTTTTCTCATATTTTTTGATTACTCATTCTTTAACCTTCACCCAATGGACAAACAGATGCTAAATTTAAAAAAACTTTATATTCAAATTCTGGAAAATAAAAATGAACATGACTGTACCTTTTCTGTCAACCCAAGATGAATCTCTGTGTTAATGCAAAAGGATCTTAGGACTCCACTCATCTTATGATAAAACTAATCTTTCACAGTCTAATAATTATTTATTGAGCAATTGGTATATGGAAGGCACCAAGGAGGACACTATGAGGACACAGAGATGGGGATTCTGATTTTGGGTGGATTGTAGTGTAAGAAAAAGCTTGCATACTAACAACTGAAAAACTGAAATCAAACAAGACTTTAGTATGTGACACTTTTTTATACAGTAAAGCTCATTTTTTGAAAATATTTTAGAGAGATTTTAAACATATTCTGGGAAACAACACAGCTTGATTGGACTTATTTTCTTAGTCTGTAAAATGGCCCGAATAAGAGTATTTTATAGCTGCACTATCACCACAGCATGTCCAGCTCTTACTATGTCAGAACATAGTATTTTTCTGTAAATGTAACTATAACTATTAGTACTCTGTTATATGGATTATGCTGATGTATTTTTTACTGAAAACTTTACAGTCACTTTGTAATAATTTATCATTGCTCTGTGTATACAACAGAGTGTATTATACAGCCCACACTATAGGGCACGAGCAAAACAACTTTGCTTTGTTAATGGTGTGATTGCACAGTTTTCATCTAAATCTCCAGTGGCCAGATAAGCAGATTTGCTCAGAAGCCATCAAGTCTTAGATGTTCTAAAATCCTCTTTAAAAGTGGAAATAATAGGACACTTTAAAATTATCATCCAGAATACTAAGAATTGAAGAACACTGTGTAACTGACATTTTCTTAAACGTACAGCTATTCACAAAGAAAAAATAAAATGAAATTGTTTGTGAAGGCCATTTTACTTTTCCAGTACTCAGATTATTAATGCAGTGTGTCAGAAAAACTGGGATAAAATACTTTCCTCTTATGAGGACAGACATACTGATGCTAAAACATGCATTTCAGATTCCAACGATCTCCAAAATGAGGGAATGGCGGGGTAGGATGACAGAGGAGATACACAGATATACATGTACACAGGAGAACAGAGGTTGTGAATTTCTTGTTTAAACAGAACTAATTAACCTGCACCTTGAGGAAAAGCAAATAGTTCCGCCTAAGAAGCTGTGATAACTTCAAGATATCCCTGTTAAATATAGACCATGAGTAGGAACACCAATACCTGGCCCGTTATAAAATGCTAGTTCAAATAGATTATTCATGTTCTTCTGACAATTTTCTTTCCTTTTTGGTTATATTCTTCCCAATTGTTACTTTATGTGATTCCTTTTAAATCTCATTTTAGGAGAGATACCACACTCAGCCAATTCTAGCGGAGAACAATCAAGGAACTGAAGCTCACCACTAACGCTATATAGTCAACGGCCCTCATGCATTGGGAATCCTCTCAAAGCGTGTGGAGGACACCATTAGCACAGGGATGTGCAGCTTTAGAAAGAGTCTCACTGTCTGCGAAGCACACACCTGTTTGTAACAGACACCAAGAGCACTGGCGCGCACACGGGTTCCCTCTAGTCTCATTGCTATTGGTCATCAGGTCCCACTCCACCAGTCTACAGATGTGGCCTTTCCTAGCTCGGCATGATTTTGCTAAATCTCACTATGTGATGTTACTTTCATGCCTCCTAGAACCGAAGGAGCATTCTCCACCACACCCCCAGGAACTCAATATTCCTTTCACACACGGAAAAACCAGTGTGCAATAGTCCAATTCATGCCTACAAGCAAAACATCAGGAGGAAGTTATTCATTAGAAAATAAACTTCCTCTCTCTGAACAGGACAGCTTGCCTGCAATGCAGAGGTTTGTTTCCTCTAGAAAACGTCTCAAAAGGCAGGAAAGTCCCAGAATTTGCTGACTAAGCATCCTGTCCCCGTGGGCTCCCGAAGACTAGAGAGATCCTAAGGTCCCACTCTCAGGAAAGCGGTATGGACTCTCCTGCCTCATTTTCTCAAGCTGTAAAATGGGAATAACGATCTTGCCTCTTGTCCATTAATAAACGGAGAAAGCTGAGCCCTAACACTATGGGAGAGAGGGCTAAATCTCTGAAAAATCTGTTACCCTGCAACAGTCTCAGGTTGAGTTCAGGGAAACAGAACTGAAACATGTTCCAACACTTGCCACACCACACCCAGCATGTGTCAGGTACACAGAAAGGTCAGAGTGAGCTCATTCTCTAAAACAGAGGTCACGGGGTGGGGGCGGCGCTGCGGGTGGAGGCAGGGGTCTAAGCCAGAGACCAAAGCGCCAAAACAAATCGGCACAACTGCTGCTCTCCTTCTTTCAGCCTTTGGCCCGGGTTACACAAATCCCTTGTTTTGTAACCTTCACGCGGATCACAGATACATTTCCAGCTGAAGGGCCAGTAACAGGGCTCAGGGCAGGGAGAAAGGGGCGACAAGAAGCACAATCGAATTTATAACACATCTGGAAAGAAACAGATCCTCAGAGCGCAGACCACAAGAACTGCGCGATGAGCTTGGGGAGCAGCTGCAGGGTCGGGGCCGCGGACAGCACGGCCGGAGCAGTTGCTCCACAGGGAGGCAGAGGCCGGCGTGCGTGGAGCGAAGCAGACAGATCAGTACTTACTCTGCGTGGGACTCCCGGGGCCCGGCGACCTCAGCTGGATTTCAGGGATGTTTGCATTCCTGCTTGGGAACTGCCCCAGCTTTTCAGTTTAGTTAGAGCTCCGGCCTAGCCCAGCGTGACGCGGCGGGGCGGGTCCCCGGACAGCGACCGCAGCAGCTCTCCCTGTCTCCTCCCCGCGGCCCCGCCTGTAACCCCGGCCCCGCCCCGCCCTCGGCCACGCCCCCTTATCGAGCCCCCCCATCTTTCTCTCGCGGCCCCGCCCTCCTCCCTACTGCATAGTCCTCGTGTGGCCCTGTCCTTCTCCCGCGGCCCCTCCCTCCCCCGCGCGGCCCCGCCCTCCTCCAGGCCCCGCCCTCCTCCAGGCCCCGCCCTCCTCCAGGCCCCGCCCCTGCACGCGGCCCCGCCCCGGGAATCCGGGACAGACCCACAGCAAGGAAGTAGCGCAGAGCCGGCCCCGGCCTGGCATCCTCGGCTGGCGAACGCAGCCCTGCGTCCTGTGACCTGCGCACCGCTGCTGCTGACAGGCCTGCCGCTCCCATCCCCGCCCCCCTCTGACTGCCAAAGCAAGGGAGCAACGTGGGTGGCTCTTTGCAAACACACTCCCCCAAATATCTTTCTTTTCCTTCCTGCCCTGGCGATTGAACCCAGGACCTTCAAACTAACCTATATCCCCAGGCCCCCTTAATTTTTTGTTTTCTGTTTTTTGTTTTTTTTTGAGACAGGGTCTCACTAAGTCACACACAGGAAAAAAAAAGTTATTAAATTTTAAAAGTAATGTCGAAAACTAACTTTTCCCCAAACCATAAACCAACCACAACAGACTGGACCGAGAGCTGGGGTGAAAGTGGGGAGGCGTGGTAGCCAGGGTTTCCGGAACAAAGACCTCAGCCCCTGGAGAGGCTGACGGATGGACAGCCAGCGGCAGTGAAGAAGCAGGCGCCCTGGACAGTGTGCGCCCCACGCCCCGCACAAGTCAGAGCGGGAGCGACGCCCCGACCTCCCCCGAGGCGGTCCTCACTTCCGCACTGCCACACGAACTGGTCAAGTATGAGGCCTTTCAACTCTAATATTTTATAATTTCTGGAGAAGATGCTGCCATAATTCCTGATTAAAATGTACCTTAAAATTACTTTTTTGTTAATAATATTACATTTCCTTTAAAAAAAAAAAAACTAAACCTGAGCTCATCCAGTTTTCTCTTATGTTTGTTTCTCCAGGGACAAGGACAGCTCAGGGCGACTTATTTGGGCCACACCTTAGTAGCGATGAGCCCTGGACTCCAAGACCCCAGTGTCAGGCAGCTGTGTCTTCCGCAATGAAGGTGAGTATTTCTGTGTTCCCCAAGAGCACAGATGAGTAACTGAAGGTTATAAAATAAATTTTCCGAAGAGGCCAGGGAGCAAGGGGCTGGCTGCCTAAGCGTTCCTGCTCCCCTGAGCTGCTGTAGCTATAACAGTCTCCATGAGGCATCCTTTCTCCTACAGGGAGGGTTTCCAGATCACCTGCATCTGAAACACTAGAGATGCCCCTTCACTGCTAGGAGAAATCCTGGGCATTGCTCCATCCTGGGGAATCAGAATTTCTTGCTTTGGAAACTGTGAATCTGCTTTTTAACCAGATTTTCCAATTTATTCTTAGGCAATCTAAAGTACAGAGAGTTTGAACTACCCACATTTTGTACAATTCAGCCCCTTAGCTACTCATAGTATGATTCCCAGGCCAGCAGCCCTGGGGACGTTGTTAAAAAGCAGAATCACAGCACCAGCCCAGACTTCCTGAATCAGAATCTTCATTTTAATGAAAACCTTACTGATTCAATATGCACATTAAAATATGATAATTACTGATTGTATCTTATTTTTTGCAAGTTTGGTTATGTATATGTTACCTACATACTGCCATAATATAATACAATTACCTGCCATAATTGTATTGTTTACTTAATTGAAAATAGATTGACTTTTTAACCTGTTTTAAGCAAAAATATTCATAGGGTTATAAGTTTTATGTGCCATTTTACTTTTTATAGCACATGAAAGTATATGCACAATTATTAAAGCAAAAATGCTTGCCTATCTTAACAAAGAGTCACCCCATAACCACGTTTCGAGAGTACTGTGGAGTGACTGTGACACTGAATGCATTATCTATCAGCCCCTGGCTCATATTATGGACAAGGAAAGAGTTTGAGAGAACTGTGGTGCCAAAGTTCTCAGAACTATGTATGAAAAACAGAACCCTCAGGGCTGGGGATGTAGCTCAGTGGCATAAGTGCTTGCCTGGCAAGCCTGAGGTCATGAGTTTGATTCCTGGTACCAAAAAAAAATTCAGAACCCAAATCACAAAGTATTTCTCTGATGGCCATTTACTCTTTTGAAGATCTTCTCTCTAGGCAGGAAGGAAAGTCATTTCCACCTTCTGTTTAAATGTCTGATGTTGCTGCGCTGCTTGTCATCAGTGACTTCCCTACTGTTTAATCAGGTAATTCTGTTTTCCTCTCCCTACTGGGTAGTTGTCATTTGGCAGTGGACCACACATTTGGAAGCCTTCCCCACATACTGATAACTTCCCCTTAATCAGTATGTGCTTTCCTAAAGTAGAATCCAGAAAAGTCATGTCCTCGGATTCCCCCATAGCCTGACCGAGGCCCGTGATTTACTTCGGCCAATCGGACGCGCCGCACAAGAATGAGATTGAGGTGGTCCCTGTGAGGAGACAGCTGCCCACAGGGAGATCAACATTATAAGAAGGTATTTCACTGGACAGGATTGGCAATGGCAGGAGTTTCTGGCGCCCAGTGCTAAATGTGTGGGGTGTGAGCTTTGGTGGTGTCTGGGTGCAGCAGGAGAAAGCCCCAAGTGTCCTGTGCACTGTTCCTGGCTGTGCGGCTTTACATTCTTCCCCCTGCACCTTCCCAGATTTCCCTTCAAGCTACTCACTTAAGAAAATTTAAGAAACTCCTTTTGGCTTAAACTAGTCAGAGTAGATTCTACTAGGAACTAACAGCTTTAATCAATGCATCTTAATAGCATAGTCTTCTACAGAGATATTTCTATTGCAGCCTGAAACTTGGCTTCCGAACAGTCTCTTTTCATTATCTGAGAACTGGCTCAGCAATATAACTACATGAGTAGTTATGGATCACAACTATCATCACGTTGACTTTAGTAAGTGTCTATGATTTCCACAGCCTCATTAGAAAAATTTGGTAAGAATTGCATGTTAAGTACATGACGTATAACAGTAACTATTTTGAGTCAGTAATATCAGTTCTACTTAAGAGCTTTGGATCTAAGCTCAGAACTACATGGAAGATGGGACAGTTTTTATGAGCACGTTATTTGTAAGAATTCTCGTGAAACAGCTCTGCAGGGTGTGGAAACGATTCTATAATACACAGCTCCTGCACAGGCTTCAAATTAAATACTTGTTTTTCAAGACTGACTTTAGGGTATTTGCAGTCATTTTTAAAATTATCACTGACTAGAATTTTCAGGTTGAATGTGTGCAGAACTAAGTAAACCAGGATGACTTCTCACTGTCAATTATAATTACCACTTGGTCATGACATTTCTGAGTGGTTTGGAAGAGGATTGGTTTGCCCGTGTCTGTTATGGTACGTTGTGTAATAACTATCCCCAGCTTTTCTCAACAAAGCCTGGGAATGAAAATTTTTGAAAGAGATGTTCTTACTAAAGAACTCTAATCTGACATTTTTTTTTTTTTTGGTACCGCAAATCAAACTCAGGACGTTGCACTTGACAGGCAGGCACTTATGCCACTGAGCTATATCCCTGGCCCTCCAATGTGACATTAAAAGGAGAAATTGGCAGACAGGTTCTTCTTTTATAACTCTGTAAGAGCTAAAACCATGAGAAAGGTGGGAGGGATGAATTAAACCCTGGTAAATGTGTTCAGGAAGCTGCTGAAGGAAAGTGAGTTAGAAAATCCTAGTAAGAAGAACAAGAGAGATAATATTGGAGGTGGGAAAGGACAGTGCTTTAAAGGTAAGCAAGTAATTTCAGGCTTGACTTTAACTACAAACACCATGAACACGTAGCTAAGATGCCTGTGTGCCCCAGCTGTGTCACACCCCCACCCCCAGCTTCTGAAGACAAAACATTGTTGAGGGGAATCAAATTCCTTACAACCATCACAGTTAGAAAGGCTGGATGAAAACTTCCTGTATGGAAAAAGTGATGGGGAAAAGGTTCTAGTTTCTATGACTTTCAAGTCAAGTCTTTTTCAAGCTAAACATTAGGTGTGGTTTTTCCCCCACATTTAACCTCCCAAGGTTTAGGTAATAGCAATCCTGGAAAAAGTTTACAAATGACTTCACTAAATATCATTGTGTGTGGGCTTTGCTAAGGCGCCTTCTCATTTTGAGAGGTATAATTTTGGTGTAAGTTAAATATAGGTCCACATAAACATAACATAGAATCTTTCCAGTTGGAGACCATCAGATAACACAAAATGAGGACAGACGAGGGTGATCACATGGAGGTAGATTTCCCCAGCACCAGGGTTACCAGGTACCAGGCCCAGGGCTCTGTGTTTAGATGTTTGATTTCATCTCAATTTCACAACAGCTCTGACAAGAAAAGTCTCCTTCTGGGGCCCCCTAGGATCAATAAAAGGAGTGGCGAAGAGGAAACTTCAGCCTCAGTCTGTTCCGCTGAGTGAGCAGCATCTCTTTACCAAGGAGCAGCCCCTGGAGAACAGCAGCAGAAGAGAACTAATCTATCAGGTTGAGATTCATGTTCGCCCCAAGTACAAATGTTTAAAAATCCTCTATTTAAAACTCACAGGTGATTGGTGATTTTTATCATTTTCCTGGGTGGTGGAATGAAGATTTGAAAAGGCCTATAAAACACACTCACGATCTTACATTGGGATGGTGTTACTGCACCCAGCTTGGAGAGCTCAGCCTGTTCTCACTTCTCAGCTCATTCTTGGTTTGGGCACCTTTAGGATCTTGGAGCTCTGGGAGATGCTAAAATATTAACGCTAACGCTAATGGTAATATTAATGCTAAAATGGTATAAATGAAAGAGTCCACAGACTTCCGCAGCATGGCCACCAATTTCAAAGGGAAAATTGCTTACTGAAATCATTATGTATGTCATCCTGAAACAGACTAAGATTTTAGATAACCTGAACATACTGGGAGGCCACAGAGTTGCAATGGATTGAGCACAGAACTGTTATTTATAAAAACTATCAGCTAATGCTGTAGTATCCTTTGCTGAAAAGTATGGTTTCGGCGATTTTTCTTTGGAAGGTGCAAAGCGTCGAGGTGTTGATTACCAACGCTCAGGGAGAGTTTGTGGGATCTAGTATCGTTAAGGACCCTGTGTGTGCAGCAAACCTGGGTTTCAAGCCTGCCTCTACCCTACTGGTTTGTGAGTGTGTCGAGATCACCTCTCTGTGAGCCCTGGTTTCCTTAGGATAAAGGAATAATAATAGGGTCGCCAGGGGGTTACCTAAGGTAATTTCATAGGGCCCTGAGAGTGCCTGATATGGTTAATGCCTATGAGGGAAACTTCCATTGTTTTCTGAAGAAGAAAGAGGGCAGTATTTTCCTCACAAGATGTGTAGAAGTCCAGTATAACGATAATATTATTTACTGAACACATTATTCTATGCTGGGAGTGATTATAACATAAATGGTTTTACTAGATTTTAAATCATTGAAATCATTTTTAAAAAATTATATCCTCTTGCTGGGTGTGGCGGCACATGCCTCATCCCAGGACTTGGGAGCCTGAGGCAGGGCAATCACCATGAGTTCCAGGCTAGCCTGGGCTCCATAGGGGAGGTCAAGAGTATCACTGCAGAGTCACCCCCTGTCTCAAAAAATTTTTTTAAAAAAAGAAAGAAACCAAAAGAAAAGGAAATGATATCCTCTCCTCCAACACAGAGGGGATAATTTGTTCAAATATTTTCAGTGATGTATGAGTACGGCTGGTCTGCCCCACAGACCCTGCCCACTGGGGAGGGGTTACCCTGTAGCACAGAGAAGAGGAGGGGCCTTTTGCACTCAGGAAATGACTGACCTTGGTCACCTGGGCTGTTCCACTACCGTGGGCTCTGGAGGGTTGACTGCTCCCGAGGCTTGCTGCTTTCTTCTTTAGAATAGAAAATATTAGTTTCAGTGAGGAAACACACCTTTACCATGTACATAGTCAAGTGCATCTTTTCCTAATAATAATATAAATATCTCCACAAGCAAAAATCAGAATAAATACCAACACACCCAACGCAGATGCAAATTTTTACTTTTTCATAATTTTTCCACAAAACGATATAAACAATGAAAATGAAGAGCAATCTGCATAAATCTCATTGTTTAATACTGAATGATTTTGGAGAACTGCAGAAATCATCATGTGGGCAGTTGTCCTTTTCCACCATAAAATATTTCCAAAAACATCGCTCGCTATGGAAGAGTTGCCTTCTTTCGTACAGTTTTGTAGACAGTGTGCAGTGATGGGTGATTTAGAATATATATCAAAGCCATAATTCTATTTATAAAAAAAACCTTAAGGAAATGATAAGAGCAAAAGTTTCTTTTCAATTTAAAGATACTCATGATATAAGATATTCATTGCTATAACATTAAAAAGTTGAAAATAATAAATGTAATTAACAATGAATATTTGAAAACTAATGATGTGCCAGATAATTATTCTATTACAATAATAATGCTCTAATAATAAAATCTATTGCAACAATTTTCTGATTGCTCTATTTTACATACCAAGTGCAATAAGTTTTTAAATCTTCATGTTAATCAATCTAAAACCGAGGCTACTTCTATAAATGAGGAGACTAAGGGATGGAATCAATAAATAACTTGGGCATAGTCACAACTAAGATGGTAGGAAGGTGCTTTAGATCCCATTCCCTCGCCTACCTTAATTCCTATAATGGGATTATATTACAACACAGCTACAGGATGAAATACCATGTAGTTATTAATAATCATGTTTTAAAAGAATATTTTAATAAATGAAAGTATATTATTCCTATTTTATATAATGAAAAATCAGATTATAAAAGAGTGTGTATGGTATGATCTCTGATGTTTATATAGAGTTTTTTTCTAATGATAAGGTTTAAAAAGTTTTAAAAAATAATCTTCTGCCGGGCGTGGTGGCACATGCCTGTAATCCCATTACTCGGGAGGCTGAGGCAAGAGGATCATTGTGAATTTGAGACCAGCCTGGGCTACAAAGCAAGCTCAAAGCCAGCCTGAACTGCATAACAAGACCCTGTCTCAAAAAGACAAAAAAAAAGAATCTTCTTGGGCTTCTAAAATATTTTTATATGACTATTTTAACTGAGAAAAGGAAAGGCAAATGAAGAACAAAGGAAAGTTAAAAAATACAGCTGATCTCTCAGCAAGCCTTCATATTTTATATCTCTTACCCCTGAATATTTATATTGCAAAGAAGCAAACAGAAAAACTCTAAAGCTTTATAATGCAAAATAATGATATACTTCAGGCTCTATCAAATGTGGATAATGTACTGTAAATATTAAATGCTTGGGATAGTAATATATCAATAAGCTGATATGTAACGCATAGAACTATTTTATATGCAGTAAAAACTTTTTTTGTTTTGTTTGTTTTTTTTTCCACTACCAGGAATCGAACTCACGACCTTGCGCTTGCCAGGCAGGCGCTGTGCCGCTGAGCTAAATCCCCAGCCCCTAAAAACTTTTCATATGTAACATTGAGGATAATTTGGCTTAATTCTTTAACATTTAGAAGAAACTCTTGGACAAATTTATATTGCTTAAATATTTTTTAAAATGCCTGCTATGAAAGTATATGAAGTCTCTTTTCTTTTAGAGTAAACATTGACAGCAAGAAAACATCAAAAGAATTTGCTGTCCTCACAGAACGAGCTCTGTGTGTCCTCGGACTGGCCGCTCTCAGGGAACTTCAGGAAGAGTCCCAGGCTGGACATGTCTTTATAACGTGGGACCTGGGGTCTACGAGAAATTTGCAGCAGTTTCAGGCCCCAGGCCTCATCTGAAGAATAAACAGTCTCTGCCAAGCACACCAGCATTATCATCACTGAGGGAAGAAAAAGTCTACGTAAACATGATAGAAACCAAAAAGTGCTGCTGAGGAGCTAGTAATGTGGGTGTGACACAGGCAATGATGAAGGGAAGACATGACCTAAATCTAATCCAGATTGCAGAGCTTTCTAAGTGATACCACCTATTAACAAATAGCTTCTGGTAACCATAATGCATAATGGGTTGAGTGTAAAGGAGAGGATGTAAGATACTAAGAATATGGCGATCAATCTCAGTCTCCTGTTTCTGAGGGAGGAAAATGACCCGCGGAGAACTCAGGTCACTGTCCAGTGTGCCGTAGCTGCCCAAACTCCAGTTGTTGGCTGTTGGTCTCAGCGACAGTTGAGGAAGGCCCTGTTCTAACCCTGGTGAACTAATGATTGCATTTTCTATGGCAAAGCCAACGTATCAGGCGCAGGCTCCTATGGAAAAGTCTTTTAGTGAATTTCACTGACAATATGTCCACAGGTATTTGGCCATAAGAAGCAAAAGCAACCTTTTTTTGCCTTGTTATGGAGCCATTGTTAAAAATAATAACAATATGCATAAATTTAATTTACTATATATGCTCATTTTTCTCTTATCCCTACACCAACTCAAGGCCTATTTTTAAAAATACGAATTACTAGCAAATTCTACTGAGGCGCTCTTTCAACTCAACTGAGGAGGATCCCTCAACTTTCCTGTGGGTGTGATCTGTCCCTCCCAAGACTGGCTCGTCCTCAAACCTGCCTCGATTACCTAGTCGATAAACAGCCAGTTGAGTTCAGCTGCAGTGAAAGTTCAATTTGTAAAAATGATCTTTCCTTTCTTTTCTTTCTTTTTTTTTGAGGCAGGTTTTACTATATTACCCAGGCTGGTCTCAAACTCATGAACTCAAATGATCCTCCTGTCTTAGCCTCCCAGTAGTTGGGACTCAGGCATGTGTTACCATGCCTGAATTGTTAAATTTTTATCTAACAAATATTAGGCTTTTTGTTAATGTCAGTCAGTTATAATACTGTGTGAAAATTTAGGAATACATACATGTATATAGCACAGACTATTTTCAGTTTAATAACCAGAGTTTAATTACAGAGTCTTACATGACAGTTAGCTCCCTTTCTTCAATTCTGTCTGCCTTGTTTCCTTTCTTCCTTCATCCACTGGATAAATTATGAGCCAGGTCCTATTCTAGACAGTGGAGATCTAATGACCATTAAATAGAAAATGCTTCTGTTCTCACAGTGCTTACATTCCAGTAATAGATTCAGGGTCTTAATACGTCTAAAGAAAAGATTTCAGGAAAGCATGAGCATTGATCAGTCTGTGAGACAGGATAAGGTAACAAAGAGTGACTGACTGCAGGTTGCTTCAGAATGGACAAACACGTGACATCTGATTAGGACCTGGCTGTTATGCACAAAGCACTCATATGCAGTTGGGAGTGAGGAGAAGCATCCAGGTGAATAGAGCAGCACGGGCAAAGGCCCTGAGTTAATGGGCTGGGCAAACTGCAGGAAGAGAAAGAAGCCTGTGGAACAGAAGCGCGGGCGGTCCAGGCATTAATGGTATGAGATTAAACCGGGTGAAAGTCAAGATACTTAATGTGAGTGATGAGGACTAAAAATGGCCCTGCAATCGGGTGTGTTTGGGATCATAGTTTCTTCCTGATCATTACTAGGCACCACCTAGTCCTGCCAAGTCCTTATTTGCTTCTAGGTGCCAAGTTGTCAAAGTCCTCTGGCTTCCTGTTACCTTGTGTTTAGTTTTGCAGGTCTCTTCTGCACTTCCACACTGCGTCAGTCCTTAGAAATCCCACCTGGCCAGGACATCTCTCACTGTCTAGGTCTGTATATTCCCTGGTCAGGCATCGGGCCACTGCTACCCTTAGAACAGAATTCACCTACCCACAGCAAGGGGATACACTCAAAACAAGCTTGTTCTGCATTTGTCCTGAGCACAGGTATGTTTTAGAATAAAGGTTGAAGTGTTAAATGAAAATGCTAAAAACTTTGGGGTTAAATTATTTTCCTTCATTATCATAAATTCAAACTGAAAACTATCCAGATTTTTCCCTGCCAACCAATCACAAATTTTAAAAATATTTTTGTGCATGTCTTTGTTGAATTTTACAGAAAGTAAACTGTCAGGAACATCCCGCCCTTGTCCTGGGAACATCCGTTCTTGGGCCCAGCTGAGTCACTCCTTCCTTGCAGTTCAGCATATCACAGGGACTCGTCCCAAATGATTGACAGGGAGAGGCGTCATCCTGCATGCCCCATCCGAACCCCAAATGCCAGGTGTGGTCCATTTGTAGAGAATGTATGAGCCATCCTGCTCAAGAGCACACGCTTGACTATACAGAGTCCATTTCATGGACGAAGAATGAAGCAGCTCCCTCCCCTCCAATAAAGGTTCAGGGTTTGCCAGCCACGGGACAAACAGACACATCGGGCTCGAGCAGAGAAGCTTGATAAAGAATGCACAGATTCAATCAGTTGTGTCTGGGGTTGCAGGAAATCATAAAAAAAAAAAATTAATCATGAAACTGTTTTGTATGTCTGTGATATTTCTTAATGAAAATTTTCTATCAACTGACTGAGAACTCAAGTCTTAAGAATGTTTTCAAAATAACAATAACATCTCACAGACCAGGCAAAGAGTTGCTATGTCACTGTTGCCTGGAATCTCAGCAAAGGCCCCTAAGTGAAGGCCTTGTTTTCCTGAGACTTGGTGGCTACGCAAGGAAAGGTGCTTGTCACATTCCCTAGGATAACGGTCCTACTTTTTCATATGTGGTAAGAGTTGTGGTCAACCAAATGCCAGCTGAGAGACCTGGGGCAAGTTTACAGACATTTCTAGATGCTAAACTTCCTCTCTGAATAATTCACATAACTACACCCATATGTAAAGGGGGATCTCGAGTCCTGAGGTCTATGGCACACAGTTGGAAATCCCTGCTCTAAGGGAGAGGTGCAAAGTCCTTGCACACAGTGACTACTCAGAGCAACCCCAGGAGTTGTGTGTCTTGTGCTAACTCATGAGCATTTAGTGC